TAATTAATAAATTTTTTAAATATTATATTAATATATTATTAATATTATATTAAGTCCAGACTCGCGTATCTTTGGTATGCATAAATGATAAAGGCAAACAAGGAGCATGGGAGCCTGAGGCCGTACTTTAAAAAGTGTCAATAGTTGGTAACTCCGTCAGCCAATCACTGACTGCTTTTCAAGTTAAACGCACCAATCACAGACGAGAAATCATCCCTTACGTGACTTGAGAAAGTTCTGATAGTACGGATAGTTCTGTGTAAGAGTTAATTCAACAGATTATAAGGGTAATATAGGTACTGCAAAAATTTTATGAAGCACAAGTTTTCATCGAAAATCCACGCAAGTTTATCGGTCGTAACAAATTCTTAATTTTTGAATGATTTTGATAATCCAAAAGCCGCTAAGTGTTCTCTGGCTGTAGTGTTAAAGCTAATTATATTTACCTCTTTGACACAAGCGTTTTAACACAATTTCATTGCAGAAAAATAAAATCTCTTCCTGACTTTCGAATGCACGAAAGTTTGCGGCGCATTTCATTTGTTGAGTCCCGCAGGTCGCGTGATCAACATCTCGTCCCCCCAGGGGCTAGTGGGCACCCCCAGTCTGGGGGTTTACTGTGCCTCTAAGTGGGGGGTCGAGGGGTTCACGGCGGCGCTGCGCAGAGAGCTCGCGCAGCAGCAAGTCAAGGTTGTCACGGTCAGGCCATGTGAGTCTCATTATAATAAATACTTTATTTAGGGTCAGACCAAACGCAATATATTGATCTAGGATTATTTAGGTACCAACAATAGCCAGCAATAAGAATTACGATTGCAATTTTGTTTGATTGCAACAATATTCATGTTTAAATTAAGCACTACGGGTTCAGAAGCTAATTAAAATTTCACGATCACAGTTCAATCATAACTCATCTTTTTGAATGAATCGGAAAAAATCTATTAAATCAAAGGAGAAAATCATTCCCAAACAGACCTGGTTGTGCGACACGAGCAATTTATTTTGTCCTATCGTGTCGTTACTTACTTATTTAAAATCTGTTCGATATCAATCGCCTGTAAATTATAATAAATAAATGTTTGGGCAGGCAACATCCCCCACATGACCGGCATCATGGAAGGCAACGCTCGTCTCCTGGAGCAGATGAAAGCAGACCTCCACCCGTACACGGCGGCTGACCAGGGACGTGAGCTGGATGACATGATCCAGCAGTTCCAAGTCGCTTACTCGTCACGAAAAACGCACGAATTCAATGGTTCTTCAGGGACCAACACGAATATAAATAAGAATGAAAACGGAAGGCCAGTTTCCGTAGATTTACCGCGAGCATCTGCCACAGCAATGGAGTCTATAGACATTGGAAATATCAAGTCGGCTGAACATAAGGAACATTTCCTGAGGAAGCGACAAAGCCGCAATAAAGATAGCAATGATTCATCAGGAAACTGTTTTGAAGAGGAAAACGTCAGCGAAGAAGAAGAAGAAGCAGGAAGTCGACTGATACTTGAGAAGAGAACACCGAGAATCGAAGCGGTGGCTGATTTCATCCCAGGCGACCCTCTGCTCATACAGTGCATCAAGTGAGTGTGGTGTGGAAGTTGATGTTATTGCGAGGGCATCACGACAAGATTAATAAGTTTGCATCATGATAAGATTCATAAGTTTGCATCATGATAAGATTCATAAGTTTTCATCACGACAAGATTCATAAGTTTGCATCATGATAAGATTCATAAGTTTGCATCATGATAAGATTCATAAGTTTGCATCGTGATAAGATTCATAAGTTTGCATCATGATAA